GAGAGGCAGATGGGTAAGGGAGAGGCAGATGGGTAAGGGAGAGGCAGGGGTTTTAGGGAGAGGCAGGGGAGTTAGGGAGAGGTGGGGGGGTTAGGGAGAGGCAGGGGTTTGCTACATGGCCGAACCAATGAACATCACAAATAAACGGTAGGAAATATGATAATCAGTTTAACCTTTAACAGTGATGGAAACAAACTCTTAACCAAGCTAGACATTAATTTGTCTCCTGAGGAAGTGTCACTAGATCCGAAAAATTAATTCTGATTTCCTCCACAGATGCTGCCAGACCTGCTGAGCTTTTCCAGCAATTTCTGTTTTTGTTATTAATTAGGCCTGGTCTGCTGTAACATCACAGCACATGGGGAATCTGGGAGACTGGCCAGAGTAGGTGTCAAGTGCTGCAGGGGAATAAAGAACTGGAAAATAAATATTCATCTTTTCTTTGGCAGACAGCAGCTTCATTGCAGGTGAGGATGATGATAGCCCAGAATCTCAGCAATCCAGGTGCTCAGCAACGATGCCTTAATCCAGAGCAATGCCTCATAGAGGTTGATCTGCCAAAGATCAAGCGTCTCAGACATGGAGATTTTCAGCTTCCCGTACCAGGACTGACATTTATCCCTCTCGTGCCTGTCAAATTAAGCAGAAAATCAATGTTAAAATTCCTGGGAATGAACACAGAACCCAGACACCACAAGTCTCTGAGGTGGTCATTCAGAAAACCATCAGCTCAAGACACATTTTATTACAGTCCCTTCTTTTATAAGACCATTAGATATAGGAGCAGTTTTCGGCCATGTAGCCCTTTGAGTTTGCTCCGCAATTTGATTGAGGCTGGTATGTTTTTTAACTCTATTCTCCTGCTTCTCCCGATGACCCTTGATCCACTTGCCAATCAAGAACTATCAATCTCTGTCTTAAATACCCTCAATGAAGTTCAGTTTGTTCATGGTTTTTAAACCATATCATCAACAATAAAACATCTTTTAAAAATCTGTCAAATTTCTCCCTCACTGCTGCCTGAAGGAAGTAGCTATAGAGATAGTGGACGCACAGTTAGTAATCTTTCTGTATCCTTAGATTTGGAGTGATTTAGAGTGACAACTCGGTATTCACCCACAGGCTCTTCAAGCATGGGACTGAGTGGCAGGTAATTCCTAACAGCAACTACTTGCATTTATATAGTACCTTCAATGTGGCAAAAAAGTCCTGAGCGTGCTCACCACCTGGTCATAACACACTCTAGGGGAAGATGAACCCTGGCTGATTTGCGGTTTGACCAATGCAGAGGTCCTGAGCAGCATGAGCTCAGATACAACCTAGGATGTCTCAGCTTTTAGCAACCCACAAGGAGAGGTCAATTTACCCAATAAATATGAATTTCTATTCCAAAATGCAACATAAAATGCACATTTTGTTGTTACTGAAAGATGCTTTCTTTTCTATTGACCTTAACCAAGCATCCTGGTCGATGGTTACTACTTATCAGATAATATTTGCCATTTAAATTTGTCACTAACAGGATGCTGCCATTAAGCCAGAAAGACATTACACCCTATCACACAAATGAGTAACGTTGTAGATGAATTTCCGTGCCAGTGTGAGGCCGGGTTTATAGGTCATATGTCCGAAAAATGCTATCAAGCAAATATCTCTTCAGCTGTCTGCAATATGCAAAGTATTGACCGCACCCAATCAGAGATACTTGCAGAACCCATAATAGTGTCCGACATGGGCTGCAGTTCAGCAAATGGACAGTATTTGTTCAATACTCCTGAGTGTGCACAGAACTATGTTGATCATCACGTTAGGCTTGTGGTGTATTGGAAGTTACAGGTATTAGTATACAGGACCCCGTCCTTTGTGGACAGAAAGAACATGGATACACACTGCTTCAGAGATAGTAGGAACTGCAGATGCTGGAGAATCTGAGATAACAGGGTGTGGAGCTGGATGAACACAGCAGGCCAAGCAGCATCAGAGGAGCAGGAAGGCTGACATTTTGGGCCTAGACCCTTCTT